AAGACAACTTCTGCCAATAAGGAAAGACAAAGGAGGTGGTGGAGGACCGAGAAGTAGAACAAAGTTGTGTGTGACAAAGTTGTATGTGAAAGATGGTGTGTGACAAAGACAGATGGTGTGTGTGATAAAGTTGTGTGTGACAAAGTTGTGTGTGACAAAGTTGTGTGTGAAAGATGGTGTGTCAAAGATGGTGGGTGACAAAGTTGTGTGTGTGAAAGATGGTGTGTGGCAAAGTGGTGTGTGAAAAATGGTGTGGCAGAAGATGGTGTGCGACAAAGTTGTGTGTGAAAGATGGTGTGGTGAAAGAAGGTGTGCGACAAAGTTGTGTGTGAAAGATGGTGTGGTGAAAGATGGTGTGTGACAAAGTGGTGTGTGAAGAATGGTGTGTGACAAAGTGGTGTGGGACAAAAGTGGGGTGTGAAAGATGATGTGTGACAAAGTGGTGTGAAAGATGGTGTGTCAAGGATGGTGTGTGAAAGATGGCGTGTGACAAAGTGGTGTGTGACAAAGTTGTGTGTGTGAAAGATAGTGTGTGACAAAGTTGTGTGTGAAAGATAGTGTGTGACAAAGTTGAAAGATGGTGCGTGACAAAGTGTGAAAGATGCTGTGTGTGTGTGACAAAGATGGTGTGTGAAAGAGGGTGTGTCAAAGATGGTGTGTGACAAAGCCGTGTGTGAAAGATGGAGGGTGACAAAGTTGTGTGTGAAAGATGGTGTGACAAAGATGGTGGGTGACAATGTGGTGTGTGAAAGATGGTGTGTCAAAGATGGTGTGTGACAAAGTTGGGTGTGAAAGAGGGTGTGTGAAAGATGTTGTGTGACGAAGATGGTGTGTGAAAGAGTCTTGAAAGAGGGTGTATCAAAGATGGTGTGTGAAAGATGGTGTATGACCGAGTGTGTGAAAGATGGTGTGTCAAAGATGGCGTGTGACACCACAGCCAGCCCAATGCCATAAGGGCCACGCCTGCCACGCAAAACGAAGGTGGATGTCTCCAAGTGCCACGCCTGCCACGTGAAACCAAGGTGGATGTCACCAAGTGCCACGCCTGCCACGCAAAGTGCCACGGCGTCACGCGCGACCAAGCGGGCCCAAGCGCACGACCCAGTGCCATGAGTGCCACGCCTGCCACGCAAAACGACCGTGGATGTGAGATTGTTCCACGCCTGCCACGCAAAACGAAGGTGGATGTCTCCAAGTGCCACGCCTGCCACGCAAAGTGCCACGGCGTCACGCGCGACCAAGCGGACGCCTGCCACGCAAAGTGCCGCGGCGTCACACGCGACCAAGCGCGCCCAAGCGCGCCACCCAGTGCCATGAGTGCCACGCCTGCCACGCAAAACGACCGTGGATGTGAGATTGCGCCACGCCTGCCACGTGAAACCAAGGTGGATGTCACCAAGTGCCACGCCTGCCACGCAAAGTGCCGCGGCGTCACGCGCGACCAAGCGGGCCCAAGCGCGCCACCCAGTGCCATGAGTGCCACGCCTGCCACGCGAAACGACCGTGGATGTGAGATTGTGCCACGTGAAACCAAGGTGGATGTCACCAAGTGCCACGCCTGCCACGCAAAGTGCCGCGTCACGCGCGACCAAGCGGGCCCAAGCGCACGACCCAGTGCCATGAGTGCCACGCCTGCCACGCAAAACGACCGTGGATGTGAGATTGCGCCACGCTTGCCACCAAGTGCCACGCCTGCCACGCAAAGTGCCGCGGCGTCACGCGTGACCAAGCGGGCCCAAGCGTGCCACCCAGTGCCATGATTGCCACGCCTGCCACGTGAAACGAAGGTGGATGTGAGATTGCGCCACGCCTGCCACGTGAAATCAAGGTGGATGTCACCAAGTGCCACGGGTGTGTGAAAGATGGTGTGTCAGAAAGTTGTATGTGAAAGATGGTATGTGACAAAGATGGGTGTGAAAGATGGTGCGTGTTGGTGTGTGACAAAGTTGTATGTGCAAGATGGTATGTGACAAAGATGGTATGTGACAGATGGTGTGTCAAAGATGGTATGTGACAGATGGTGTGTGAAAGATGGTGTGTCAGAAAGTTGTGTGTGAAAGATGGTATGTGACAAAGATGGGTGTGAAAGATGGTGTGTGTGAAAGATGGCATGTGACAAAGTTGTATGTGAAAAATGGTATGTGACAAAGATGGTATGTGACAGATGGTGTGTGAAAGATGGTGTGTCAGAAAGTTTGACAAAGATGGTGTGTGACAGGCGGGAAGCGGGAGGCAGGAGGGAGGCGACCCGGGATACAGAATCAAAAACAAGAACCCCACACAAAGTTGTGGGGAAAAAAAGCAAAACGTATTGGTAAGAGGCCGTCAGCTCTGCACTCAACTTTCCATTTTTGAAGGAAGTCTCGCCGAATTGTTTCGTTTTTGATGTTGTCATGTTCGGAAAATGAGGAAGTCTCGCACAATTGTTCCGTTTTTGATGTCGTCAGGTGCAAAAAAAAATCGATGGATGGATGAATATATAGATGGATAGAGGTAGCTAGGTAGATAGATAGATAGATTGATTGATAGATAGATAGATGGATAGATCGATCGATAGATAGACAGATAGATAGACAGATAGATAGACAGGTAGTTAGATGAAAGAGAGAGAGAGAGAGCGAGAGATAGATAGATAGATAGATAGATCGATCGATCGATAGATCGATAGATCGATAGATCGATAGATCGATAGATCGATAGATCGACAGATAGATCGATAGATAGATCGATAGATAGAAAGATAGATAGGTAGGTAGGTAGTTAGATAGTCAGAGAAAGAGAGAGAGAGAGAGAGAAAGAGAGGAGACCTTAAGCACCTTTCGGTCCATCAGTTGCTTCGCTCTGCCATCTGTGGTTCACAACAACCAGCTGCTCGTATAGGTTTCCTATATTTTTGAAACTTCCGCCACCGCCTTGTGCGGCACTACTGGTATGCAGCCATTGACGGTATTGTTCGATACAATTAGCGTGGCATCTTTGAAATCAATTGATGGTAATCATTTTTTGTTTTTTTGCCATGTATTTGTAGAGTTTCTTCGAAACTGTGATGCGCATCTAGTACCTCCCAACCCCAACTAAGTTCCTTATTTTGCTGGAAAGTGGTCTCTCAACCCCTGTGTGTTGGGCCGGGTCTATGTCAGTTGGGGGATAGTGTCCATGAATCCCCGACCTTTCTGCCTGGCTGACAGTTTTTTTCGGAGGCGAGCTTTGCGGGTCAGGATGCAAGGGTCGCTGAATCCACATATGGCCGTAACTAAGTGGTGAATGGTTGGTGAATGGGTGAGTTTTGGCCATGGGTATATGAAGGAAAATGATCTGGCCATTTCTATCATTGTTTCACAGGGGTCTCCAAGAATATTCAAGGTTTGGGTGTGAATTATATATGTCAGCGTGGTGGCTGAATTTTCAGCATCCCTGCTGTATGAGTTCGGAGCTTTGACCCGCAGTCGATCAACTTCGGAACGCTAAACGTTATTCAAACAAAAACATGTCTTTACACAAACATTGACTATATAGTCTGAATTTTATCTGAAAAAAAAACGGTGTTTTGATACTGTGTTTTGATATTCATCAAATGTGGCTGGCTTGAAAAATTATATAAAATCGAGTTTTAAAGCTGGGACATGATCTATACACCATGTTTTTGAATACAATTACATCATACACATGTGCTACCATGTTTTTGAAATGATCTATAAACCATTATTTTTTTGACACATTAATGATCGGAACTCTGCCATGGCCTCCAATAGATCGCGCTCGCGAAGTGAGGACCGGGATGGAGATGATCATGGCGTTTTTTAACGGATGTATAATCACCATTTATAGGCGTTCAAGGTGCTGTAAGCACCACAATTTTGGCGGTGTACTGGTAGCGGTTTACTGAAACTTCTAGGGAGTTATGAACCCTGATAATCTAGGCACATCCATGAACTAGATCTTGCAAAATGTCCACATTCTCGCCATGGATCTAGCCATCAGACATTGTCTGGTTTAGTTGGGTAATATCCAGACGTTGGGACATTCAAAAATGGTGGTCAAACTTGGGGTAGCCACGGACTCCAGGACCCAGGCAACTGGTAGCGTTTCCTTGCGGTTTATTTTTGTTGACCACCAAAAAATATCTACCAATGACTACTGATGTATATACTTCGTTGTCAAGTGTCTCAATGGTTGGATTTGCATCCTTCTGACTACAACCATTCCAGAGATCTCAAACACACTAAACAACTCATTCCTGAATTGAAGCCTGGACTTCCCATTCGAATTCTTTCTATTTTTGTTGGTTTCATTGATCCATATTGAACCATATTGAACCATTCCAACCCATGGCACCCGTTGGTACCCATCATTATTAAAGAAGAACCTCCACGGATAAGCCGTGTCTCAGGACTCAGGGTACTCAGGGTCAGGGTGCAGCTCTCCAGTCGGCATTGTGCTGAAGACACCTAGCAGTGGGGTCACCTACAAGTGGAGCATGTCTTGGGAGACCTTGGAAGAAGAGTGAGGCAACATGAGGCAACCATGGTTTGTTTGGTTAGTATTGCCATTATGGGAATTTATGCGTTAGTTTTAAAACATATTTTGTTAGAACTTCGAAACACATCCTGCTAGAGAATTATTGACATACTGGGTGACTACAATTAGCCATGGATACAGGGTCCCATTTCTCGCTGAGAAAAGCCCTGTCTACAGATGGCTCGAATCATCTGTGGCTGGTTGTTTGATGACCTTCGTGGAACTCGCCATCAGAGTGTGGTAGAAGAGGATAGTGGAGGCCATGTTTACGTGTGCAATGCCTTTTGGACACACCATATGACAATGATAATGGTTCAAGTAGGTCATGCAGCTAGTTTTTTCCAATGATTATTGAATGATACTGATAGGACATCCAATTGATGATTGAATAAATCATGATTGATTTATTGGATCATGACATGTACATAGAATTCCCGGTTTCCAATAGCGACAATTGTTTGTTATGTCCCTGTAAAGCCACCATGGCTGACCAGCATGGCAACGCATCGATATCCGCAGCGACCAAGCCTAAGGTGGTGATGACCCAACCCTTTATTGAACTACCAGAAATGACCAGAACTTTGCATGAACATCAACTCTTTGATGAGGTTTGTTTTGCTTGAAATATCTTGAAATAGTTTTTTCTGATCCTCACAAAGATGTTCAAGAACTATCCCAGAGTTTGGACGCATGTTCCATAAACGACACATTTTTGCGGCTCCTCCGCCTGCCTGAGGTGTGGCTAGCCCAGCAGAAGGCCATGAAGTGGAGCAGGACTACACACGGGATGACATTGATACTTGCAAGCTTTGGGGGAATGATAGTGTGAAAATGTAAGGATTCATACTATGACATGAATTGTCACTATGACCAATAAATAGCACTATCTATATAACCACGGATTTATCATCCAAACGCTTCATTTCCCTAGAGGAACATACATGGAATGACACCAGCTGTCACTGCAAGGATCCACGTGATGAGATGCTGGAGATTTACCTGGGATTGTTTGGGCCTCAATACACATGGAGGATAGCTGGTACGTGTAAGTCTGTGTTTGTGTGATAGTTGTATTGTACACACATATTACATATATGATATTACAATATATCATATAATTATATATATTCTGTATATATCTGTATGATAGTGGGATATGGATACGTGTAGGTTCCATTATCGATCCGTTTCTTATTTTGTCCTCAAGCCGAATCGTTCCGCAGAGGCTATAGAAAAATAGCTTCCAGAGCCAAACACCTCAAGCTCTACCGGCTGAGCATCAACACAGCAACGATGGCAGGGTGGTTCTTGAAACCCGGTACACCTTTCAATATTATCCAAGTTATGTGTCATGTTGAAATGGGGGGACAAGTAGTTCGTTTTCAGGCTTTCAGGTACCGCATAATTATATTGTATTCTGTATATATATATATATACATATAATACACACGTACACACGCATATATATATATATATTATATATTATATGTATATATATATATATATCCACACATCCTATCCACTTCAGGATGCATATTTACATATCTCTACCATTGGTGGTCCAGCTTGTCGTCACGGCAACGCTTCTGCTCCACACCCTTCCACCCTCCACCATCAAGGTGTTGGTTCCCCATCAGTAAAGGAAGGCGGCTCCCATTGTGCAGGGTGGGGCTCGTTTGCGAAATTAGGAAACCATATGAATATGATGATCGAATGATGATTATATGGTGGTTTTAATGGCGGTTTAATGATGGATTTATGTGATTTATAGCTGATTTCATGGGATTTTCATGATAGCTAAGTTAGGAAATCTACATGACTCCTCCTCAACTGTTGGGTCGATGGTCGTTCAACCACTATACTGGGATGGGATAGGGGTGCTTTTCAAGGCTCAATTGGTAATATCCATTATATAATTATATATATATATATTTATTGTACCGATAATTCTGGTAATAATGTGGTATCGATGATAGCAATTAATCTCTGATTGGAGTTTCATATTGGGTATACCCCCAGTAATTGGATGATGTAAAGCAACCAGCATTGCTGGTTGGGTACAGGGATTTGAGTCCTCCAAAGATCCTCCATGACTTTGCCAGTTGGCTTCTGTTGGAGGTTTGCATTAAGAGATGATCAGAAAAGTTCAACTTTGCAGTTTCATGCTGTGAGAATTAGACTTCGGGATTTGGGATGATTTGGGTATATTTTTTCCAAAACCATTGTTTTCCTATTTAGCATGACCCATATTCAATGATTCGGATGATGAAAACAGCTTCCCCGAAAAAGCATCATGCTGAACTTTGGGGTCTTGCGTACCCTTGCCATGACAGGCCCTCAGCACCATCTCTGAAAGCCTTTTCCTTCGAGGTCGGAAGCCTTAATGCCGGGCGCAGGGTGACTATGAACATGTGGGTAGAACTATGAGGACATGTATCCTGAAGATGAAGTGCACAATGGTACGCATGTAAAACAAAGCATGGGACAAGTACTGTAAAACAAAAAGTGCTGTGCAACCCTGACGTTGCTCCCCGCCTGAATCGGAAGGGTTGCATTTGTTTGAAGTTCACCAAAAGTGGAATGTCGAAATGCACATCATTCATCATCATTTATCATCATCATCATCATTATCATCATCATCATCATCACAACAAAATCATAATCATATTCATAATCATAATCAAAATCATATTCATGTACATTCATCTTTGTCATCATCATCATCATCATCATCAGCATCACCATCATCATCATCATCATCACAATCATCATCATCATAATCATCATCATAATTATCATCATGTACATGTATTACCATCATCATCATTATCATCATCATCATTATCATCATCATCATTATCATCATCATTACCATCGCAACAAAATCATAATCATAATCATGCTCATGTACATTCATCTTTATCATCATAATCATCATCATAATAATCACCATCATCATAATCATCATCATCATAATTATCATCATGTACATTTATCATCATCATCATTATCATCATCATCATGATGAAGATAAAGCCGATGCTATCACCCCATACAACAAATTGTTCAGAGGGGGTGGCAAATTTTGACCCCTCACGAAGATAAAGTTGATGTTCTTACCCCAACCAACATATTGTTCATAGGGAGTGGCAAATTTTGATCCCTCATGAAGATAAAGTTGATGCTATTACCCCAACCAACATATTGTTCAGAGAGGGTGGCGAAGTGTGATCTCTCATGAAGATAAAGTTGATGTTGTTACCCCGACCAACATATTGTTCGGGGGGGTTGCGAATTTTAATGTGATGTGATGATGTGATGATGATGATGATGGTGATGGTGATGGTGGTGATGATGATGGTGATGGTGATGGTGATGGTGATGGTGATGATGATGATGATGATGATGATGATCGTGACGATTGTAAGTGTGGAGCAACGACCGGGTTGGGCGGAAAAAGTACGTGCTGAAGAATATTGCGTTTCAATTTTTTGATTCTGTTAGACATATCATCATTTGATATTACAAGACTGTCCAATATCCATGGATATATCAATGCATATATATATATATATCCGGTTTCTGTGACTCACATGTTCCGTGTGCAGGCCCTGTTGGTCCTGCCCGAAGATGTAACAGGAAAGGCGGCGGAAACTCCTGGGTCTACACCGCTGAGTTGTGAGATGACCCATGTGATCATCGACATTTCAACACCACGGCAGTTGCGGCAGTCGTGCCATGTCTGTTCTGATACTCTTTGGTTTAAACACCCAAAATTATGCTTCAATGGAAGTTAATAGGATTTTATGGTGTGAATGGGATTTAAACAAGTAGGGATATGAATGGGATTTAGCATCTGATAATGTCAATTGCTATGGTTTAGATGGCCCATTTAGTTCACCGAATCTACCGTTTTCAAGAAAGGTGATTTTCTGGCTGCATTGAAAGCAAAACTTGATGGCGTCTTCTTTCTCAAGCAATCCGAATCACATGGTGAAACCTTACTGCGGATATGGGTAAATGTCCCTGCTTGTCCAGCATGTGCCAATAAGGATTACAAATACATTTAGTCGTTAAGCATACATATCAAACAACATGATCAATAAATTGCAAAAATGACAATTCCCAATATTTGTAACGGATTTTAGTAAATTTACTATAGTAAGATTGGCAATTGTAATTCACAATTTACACAATATTACATACAGTACATAATAACATTCCCAAAGGTATACTGATATCATTTGTATATCCCATAAATATATACCAAGAATATCCTACTGGTTCTATGACATATATGCCCACTATATCCATTTGACATTCGCAGGCTATGGCGGAGGCCATGAAGGCAGACTGGGGGGAGGTGCCAGTGGGCAAAGGCAGCAATGTTTGTTGGTTTTCATGGGATTTAATGAGATTTAATGGTTTTGTAGTGGGATTTAGTGGTGTTTGAATGGGATTTAACTGTGTTTTAATGGGCTTTAATTGTGTTTTAATGGGAATTAATAATGTTTTAATTGGATTTAATTGTGTTTTAATGGGATTTACTGGATTGCCGTGATATACTAATATTTAACGGGATATACAATGGACTAAGTGGGAAAAAACTAGATATACCCATTGGTGTCATCAAACGTGGCTGGGAAAATCCCCGAAGTAAATAGAGGTTTACAGCTGGAAACATCATATAAATGGTGGATTTTCAAGTCCCAGGTTTGATTCGCGGAAAGTAAAATCTATCATGTTCCACATGATTTGGTCATATCTTTAATGATCTCCCTGATCTGCCCCATTTTTTTAAGACAAGGCCAGGTGGTTGGTGCTTTCAACATGTTTCATAGGTTTTTCTTTACCACAATAAGGTGCCGAATTCTACTTGACCTTCGCTTTGTTCAAGGGGAATGAAACCACCCGGAGCAGCCAAGAACGGCATGGTATAGTGTGGTCTTTGTTTATGAGGTGATTGGTGAATGGGCGTGTTTATTTCGTAAGTGTTGGCAGCATGCAATGTCCAACGGAAATCTTATATACATGTATTTTGGAATATATAATGGAAGGGTATAGAGATACAAGATGTGATAACCACCCAAAAAGAACGTCCCACTTACAATCGTTGGTTTAGACCCAAATATATCCTGCAAGGGCGGTTAAAGACACAATGAACAGTCATCAGCCAATGATAGTCCAACTCCCAGTGGAATCTAACTATCAACAAACCCTTGTGTAACCCAACCTGGCGATTGAATATAGCCCGTTAATATATCCATTTAATGATCTGGTTGGTGGTTTGGAACACTTTTTATTTTCCATGATATATGGGATAATTCTTCCCATTGACTTTCATATTTTTCAAGATGGTTGAAACCACCAACCAGTGATGAATTTTCCGTCAAAAATATGCTGAGTTCCATAGAGATGGCCCATTTCCAACCTCGAATGAGTCACCTCGCCCCTGAAGGCCTCCGAGTGCGTGCAGCTGTCC